ATTAGTTGTGTGATCTTAGGCAACATATTTAACCTCTGTGTGCCTTAGTTTCATCATCATCTGTAAAATGAGGATAATAACAGCACATTTATTATACGATTATGTAAAGACTGAATAAATTAAATTAATTACTCCAAGCAGGCCTGTACTCAGTAAATATTATCAGTCACCACCATCGTTACCACTACAGCAGCTGTGAGTCCCCTTTGCACACCTGATCCCACCCTGGTTAGCAGCCCAGTTTTTGACTGTCAGGCCTGGTTATGAACTCAGGCGAACTTCCCCAGGCTCCCCATACCCAACCCTACAAAACAACACTCTAGGCCCACTCTGCCATCAGGAACAAAACTGTCATGGAGAATGTAACAAGTTCCACAAATATTTCTTGTTAAATGAATAAATGACTTGGTAAGACTTTCTCTTTCACAATATATATTCTGGAAGAGAAATGAGGCTTTGGGCTTGACCACTCCTACACCTCTTTTGTGAGTAAATCCAAGCGATAGGCAAATAATGACCTTCCTCCAAAGACATCCAGGATCTAGTCCCCAGAATCTGTGAATATATTAACTTACGTGGCAAAAAGGACTTTGCAGATGCGATTAAGGTTAAGGACCTTCAGATGGAAGATTATCTCGGATTGTTCAAGTAAACTCAATCTAATCACATCAGTCCTTAGAGCAGAGTATCTTTTCTAGCTATAGAGAATAGGAGAGATGGCAGCATGAGAAGGACCTGACCCCCCATTGCTGGCTTTGGAGATGGAAAGGGGCCACAAACCAAGGAATGTGTGTGACCTCTGGAGACTGGAAAATGCAAGAAAATGGATTTCCTCTGGAGTCTCCATTAGAGAACACAGCCCTGCAAACACCTTATTTTAGCCCAGTGAGAATCATGTTGGACTTCTGACCTTCAGAACTATAAGATAATGAATCTGTGTTGTTTAAGCCACTAAGCTTGTGGTCATTTGTTACTACAACAATAAAAAACTAATATAATCTCTCTAGATTCTTCCACTGGGGAAAGACCACAACCCAGTACTGGGCCCTATACTGGGATTAAGCAACAAGAAAGCACATACTTACTCACTAATTCATTCATTCATTGATTCACTCAGTGAATTTATTGAGCACCTACCACAGACCAGGTGCTGCTCTATGTGCTACCAAATCAACAGTGAGCCAGAGAACCACAGTCAGTTCCGCTCCCGGGCAGCTTATAATTCAGAGGTGAGAGAGAGAGACTAAAAAAGCCAATAAATAAATTAGACAATTGCAAACAGCGAAAAGTGCTATGAAGAAAATAAAACAGGATGATGAGAGAGAGAACACAGGGAGCAGAGCTGGGGGGACAGAAACCCCAGACTGAGTGGATGCAAGGCTCTCAAAGAAATGACACTTGCTGGCCAAGCAAATGTCCAAATGAGCTCATAAGGTGCTAGCTTGTGGCTGACCCAGCCTTCAAAAGGATGCTGGAAGAGCCGAAACACCCATTTTGAGAAACTGACATGACTTCTCGCTCCGAGGAAAAGTGCACTGTGTGAATTGCTACTCTCATTTTCCTGTCCTCACTCTTCACAAGCATGACTTTTAAGGCTTTATTTTTTAACATATTTTATGAACAGTGTAAAGGCGGCATTATCCCAGAGTCCCTGGACATCATTCTCTGTGAGAGCACTCAGTGTCTCCTTATCTGAATATGGATGTGGTTAGATTCCCGAGACAGCTAGATTGCTATTACTGTGATGGATTTCCCTGTGGCTGGCTGTGGCACGTATCAGTGACACCAGCCCCAACACCAAATCCACTGCTCAGGTTTAGACTTAGAGCATGAGAGCCTCTGCAGACCACAGCTGGCTCCATTGCACATTTAATTATGACAAAAATATCAAGGTAGAAAGGTAGCAAGTAAGTGTACAAAATTCTCTTTCCTGTCATATCATGTAGGAATGATGGTCTTTGATATCCAAATCACACAAGCAGAGAACAGGCCACTCAATTTATTTATTGCACAGTGCCTTGCTCTAATGTCTACAGTAAAATACTGAAAACAGCTCCAATTTTTAAGGACGTCATAGTCTCAATTATTACTTCTCACAATTACTCCTTTCATAGGTACATTATGAAAGTAAAACTAGCACATCCAAGTAATCTGTCTCAACCCAGAGTTCCAAGACATACATAAACAACCCGGAGCAGTGCAGTCTACCTTTTACACTCTGGTTGGAGTTTGTTCCACATACACCTTCCCGTTTGAGAAGGTGATTAAGCTGAGACACAAAATGATTCCAGTTCTGAAGCTATTCTAACCATTTCTGGTGTTTGAATTTACAAACAGACTTCAACAACATTGAGTGAGAAGGCTTTTGTGTTAGGGGTAGGGTGGGGGGGGCAGAGTTCGCACTTTGAGTAGTGATAATTCATTGACTCTGAGAATGGTGTTCAGGTTTTAGAGCCAGAATATCTGGATTTCCAACTTCACCATATAATAACTATATGACCTTGAAGAAGAGATTTTCCTGACCAAGAATCAATCCTATTTTTGTCTGTAAGTCGAGGTCAATAGTAACACCCACTCTGCCTGCTTCTGAATTCAGAATTACAAAATGAGAAAGATTTTGTAAACTATAGAACAAATAAAAAAGAGACTCTGTAAACTATAGAACAAATAAAAACCAAAACTCCCCTGGCCTCCCCACTCATGGTGTTACAAATATGTTGTATTTAAGGCAACAGCCTAAATCCCAGTTCTCTGTGCTCTAGCCGTGGATGTGCAGTAAGCCTGAGCTTTTCCTGGGATTCCCCCGCCTCAATTTCTTCCTCCAGGACTCCCTGGGTGGTGGGAATGACATCTACCAGACAAACAGACCTAGGGCCTACCACTGGACAGTCCTCCTCCTCAGTCTCTGACATTTTCCCTCAGCTCCACTGACCTTGGTCACTCTGCCACCCACATGTCACAATCAATACCTCTGACATGGCAGATGACTTCCTCTACAACACCAACCTCAAGGCCTAGCTGGCAGGAGGCCACTTCCACTCTTGTGCCTTGCTGTTTTATAACAGGGCTGCCAAGGCAGCACTGTTAGGTATCAATGACTAGGTCTTTGCAGGAGTCAGCAAACTTTATCTGCAAAGGGCTAGATAGTAAATATTTTAGCTTTTGCAGACTACATGTCTCTGTAGTACATTCTTCTTTGCTTTTTTAAAAATAACCCTTTAAAAATGTAAAAACAACTCTTAGCCCTTGAGCCCTATCAAAACAGCCACAGGCTGGATTTTTCTCAAGGGTCATAGTTTGTAGAGCCCTGTTTTACAACAGAGCCCTGGTTTATGCCATAGCGTACTTGTTTGTGTGAAGAGAAGTCTGTTGTTAGCTAGGGGAGTTGAGGGGAGGCTGGTTAGGTCAGAGGAGGTGCCTGGAACCGCTGAGCCCTTGGACATCCAAACCCTGCAGCACAGTCTGGTCCACGTTGGTAGATTTCTTTACTCATGGCTTTCTCTCAGGGACCTCGTCACTTCCCCTCCATCCAGACTCTTCTGGGGAATCCCAAGCCATGGGAGAGATCAGTGCATATATGAATTCCGAAAGTGAGTCAGGCTCAAGTTCTTAAGCTCAGGGATCCTGAGCTCTGTGTGAATCAAGCATGTGGCTTCCATGTCCCTAAACATTCTATGACAATTAGAAAGCTGCTCTGCCCCACAGCACAGGGGACCTCTGTGGTTGGAGTTACCTATGATCCAATCAAGCCCAGTAAAATGCATCTTTGAGCCAGTCAGAATGTTTTATACATTTATTAGCCACTATGATTACTATCAAAAAAGGAAGAAAAGAGAAAGAGGAAGAGGTAGGGGAGGGGAAGGGGAGGAAAAGGGAAAAGGGGGTGAGACGAGGAGGGGAGGAGAAATCATTGCAGAATATTTTCCCTGAATGCCATTTTCATCACAAAATTGTCTTCACCTGGTACTTACAACAAATCTATTAAATATTGTCATGTAATTCAAAAGCAAGATTCCCCACCATTTATAGTTTCTAAAGGACAGCTGCCTTTTGACAGTTTCCCCTCTAATTAGAAGACTTCACTTTGATTCTTCTTGATTCTCACATATATTCTATAAATCAAGGCCTCAATAAGCCTATAGGGTACCTAGCTGCCAATTATTAATAGCAAACAATGCTTCCTTAGTCCAAAAGTAAAATAGCAAATGGTGCCCCTTCAGCTCTGTGTCTTAGCACCATTTGGCTAACTAAGGTCCCTTTGTTGGGGAAAAAAAGCAGTGAGGGGTGGAAGCCACTTCTTGTTTCTGGCAGATCCAGCAGTGCCCAAGGACACACACAGTGAGCACAGCCAAGATTTCTCACCCCGACTTGAGCCCTTTGCCAGGTGCATGATAACACAGAGGCCCTGACTTAGGTTTTGAGCCAATCCACAGGCCAGATGAATTTAGCCCATTTTGTGCAGCTACTAGCAATATGCTAACATGCTGGCAAAGAAGTCTGTGATAACATTTATGGCAATGGTGGTGGTGATGGTGCCACCAATAAGACTTGCCAGCTGAAAGCCCTTGCTTATTATCACTTGAAAAGGGCTGATTTTGAGAGGAATTGAGATAGCATAGAGAGGTAGAGGGTAAAGCAGTCCACAGGGTTGATAATGTGGAGAATGGTGACTAAGTCATGAAAGATGTATAGCTCAGAGAGAAGAATGTTTAAAAAATGATCCTCAGTGGTTTGCCAGAGCAGACTGCTGAAGTCAAGGATGAATGTCTGCACCCTGCAGAGAATGCTGCATTCAGGAGGTCTACACTGTAAGACAACTTAACTTCTTCGATGGCAGGCAGGAAGGTCTGGGAGGCTTTCCTGTGGTCTAATGGAAGAGGCGAGCAGCTGAGAAGCCAGGAGGCCAGTGATGAGGTTTCAGTGGTCAAAGGGGGAAAGAACAGAACCTGGTGGTGGCCTGGAGATGTCCAGGGAAGAGAAAATGCGAAGCTGCCTGGGAGATGAACGGCAGATCCCTGCAACAGATTGGAAGGGGGAGGAGAGAAGGTCATGGCAGAGTCAAGGATGACTGGAGCTCCCTGCCTGGGGAAAGGAAGGATGGCTGCGTTTTAGTTGCCAAGACAACAAGCCTCAGTGGCAGCCAGAGAGGCTACCGAGTCCCTCTCTGGGATTCTCCTGCTCTCGGTTATGTAGCACAGGCAGACTTCCTTCCACTTGGAAGTACGATATGCTGCTCTGTTACTCAAGGTGTGTTTATCACTGAAATGACTCACCCCCAATTGTACCAGAATGCTGTAGGCTGCAATCACGCTACACAAATTTTTCAGCATTGTTAATGGAAACAAATCTGCAACACCTAATCGAAACCCATTCCTAGGAAAGATAAATAAAAACATTCTAACCTTTAGCATTGTGCATAACTTTTTAAACACAGAGAACCCTACAGCAGAGATCTACCTTTCTGATGGAGAAGGCACTACATATTTTTCTTTGGAAACTAACGATAAATTAGAAAACATATATTTCTTCAAAGTATTAATTTTTAAAGCGGCCAAAATTGCTAACAACCAGGGAAAGTACTGATTTATAAATTATGTTCTCAGCATATAGTATATATTGTGAATTTGCATGCATATTAAATGCAAGTAACCAGAAGAGCATAATATTAAGGCTTCAAATTTATATGTGCAAAAGACAGTAAATTCTAACATTAAAATTCTTCCCAGAAAATATTAACTCCCCACATCCCATGTGACTGTCACATACTCAGCTGAGTAGTCTCACTGCAGAGCTTGAGAAGTCAACAACCTTGCTCAGGCAAAATCTGCATTCCCCATGCCCACCCCACTCACCAGGCAAAGCAGACAAGACCATCTGGCACCACCATGTGAGATGGAGGTTAGGTGCTAACATTGCCCAGCTTCTTATTTAATAATTTGACAGAAAATAAAATGCATCACAAAAACTACCACCACTGAATCACTAACAGAATCTTCGCCATTGAGGAAATGGGGCAAAATACAGCTGACTCTGCTCTTTCACTATAGTGAAAACAAGAGATTTATGATGGTAAAGTTCTGTGTGTCAACTTGGCTAGGCTCTGGTGCTCAGTTGTTTGGTCCAACACTAGTCTAGATGTTGCTGGAAAGGTATTTTATAGATGTGATTTGCATCCACAATCAGATGACTTTAGGTAAAGGAAATTACCCTGGATAATATGGATGGACCTCATTTAATCAGTTGAAGGCCACAAGAACAAAAACTGAGTTTCCAGGAGAAGGAATTCTGCCTCAAGACGGTAACAGTATGTTTCCAGCCTGCCAACTTGCCCTGCAGATTTCATACTCAAGGCTATAACACCACCTGTTACCTGAGTTTTAGACTACTGGCCTGCCCTACGGAGTTTAGACTTGCCAGTTCCCACATTTTCATGAGTCAATTCCTTAAAACAAATCTCTTATATATATGAGTGTATCATATCATAGAGGTGTGTGTGTGTGTATATATATGTCTTTAATATATAGATAGATTGTTTCTCTGGTGAACACTGATACAAGATCCAAAGGGATTTCATAATGTAGTTTTTGTTTAAATAACCCCACCACTTGGGAGTGCAGGATTTTCTTGAAGATTTCCTTTCTGATACCCACTTAAAGAATTTCCACAGTCAACTGTAAGGAGAATAAGAGTGAATGGTATTTGTAAAGGAGAAGGGGCTCGTGAAAATCTTTCTGGTGGCTGAAGATCTGCTTAGCTATGCCGGTTTGGGAGTTCACCTTGCTGTATTTATACTGTGAATTCTCTGTGGATGCTATGTCTTGAGGGATGGAACTGTCCCTTCAGTTACGTAAAGCCTAAAAACACAAAACAGACTGTCTGCTCTAATGAAGCAAATATCCACCTACATTCAGATCAAACAAATTCATGGGTTTTAATGTCACTCCAACCACTCCTCTGTTTTTGTTCCTTGGCCTTTTCCCAGAGCACTCACAGTATCTGCTCCAAGCCTCTGCTCCTCCCCCTCCTCACTCTCGCACGGAATGCTCCTCTGCACAGCCAGATCCAATTGTGTGTGTGCACAGATGAGCCCAGACCTGCGCTTCCCTCCCTGACCTCTAACTCTGATCATACTCCTTTATATACTGCCATATGGATGATCTTCTGGGAGTGGGTGGGACAGGGCAAGGGACATAACACATCCAAAACAGAATTCATCAGCTTAATACATCTCTATCTTTTGCAAACTGCTCCATTTCCACTGTTCCATGACTTATAAGCTGGGAAGAGAACTGACCTATTCCAACAGGTATTTGGAGATTTTGTGGGTAATCTCGTGGACACCCTTTTTGGTTTTTTGTGGTTTATTTATTTATTTATTTATTTTGGACTGGTGGAGATGGGAGTTGTTCTCCAAAGTAGCAATCCAGCCTTGACTTAAGTTCTCTGTAATGTCTCTTTATCTTCTGTCTTCTCCACCAATTCTGTCATCAAGTCCAATCCCTTCTTCCCCGTCTTCTGCAGTCATTCTTATCATGACAGCACCAACTGTCTTCTTCCTCTCTGAGCTATTTTATAACACACAGCAAGACTCATTTCCCCAAATGTCATTTTGATCATGTCACTTATTGGCAAATGTTCCAGATGTTTCTTCTTAAATTTCAACCCCAGATCTGCATGTCCACAGCTGACTCCCTTGACTCTCCTCTTCCGAGCTTATCCCTACACCCCCTGCACTCCCACCATGCTCTCCCCAACCCGCTACACCCACTCTGCTCTCCAAATAGCAGGACAAACCCTTTGTTCCCATCACCTCTCCCTTAATAGGTTCCTGCTCTCCTTTGAATCTCCACTCAGCAGATATCTCCGAACATTAATATGACACCTGCTCATTTCTCACTGGGAAAGTTCAAGAGCTGATAGCTTTCCTTGATCCCACCTTCCAAATAACTAGCTCACCATGGTTTTCTACCATTCCTGATTCCGAGCATAAGGTTTGGGCTGACATCCAAGAAATCCTAGGGCAAAAGGGTAGTGACTACCTGAGTAATCATTGTCTTGATTTCATCTGAAAGCATCCCAATTTTTACCTTTTCTCATAATGATGTCTCAAATGAGAAACCTCTCAAAACTTGACATTTCCTATCGGCAAATTCCCTTAGATTCATAAACTTATCCAAGCAAGTGTTATTATGCATGTGTATCAGAATACATTTCTCATTGTGATTTATGCACGTGTTACATATAGTTATGGATATATTTCTGGAAAATTGTTTTTTAAATATTTAATAGCCATTAAAGGCATAAAATAATACCCTGCTCCTTATGGAACAGTGAGAAGTCATTCTAGCACTTTTGCAAGTATTTGCAATTGTAATCAGTAATGCAGGCAGAAAGAATACCAATGTTTTTCAATCATCACTGGTAAAAATGTAAATTTTTAAAAATTAAGACTTTAAAGTTCACCTGCATTAATCTTCTGCTAATATAAGCCAGGACTATTTCCTAGGACTCTGAGTGGTTTAACATCAAGACATGTCACAGGCTTCGTCCAAATTATTCAATGCATACCATACATTATTCTGAACCTCTCAGAAGATGAAACAAGGAGAGGCAATGTAAGTGTCTGAAGAACAAAAGGAAAAATGAAGCACAGAGACCTCAGGCTAAAAGTATAAAACCCTTAAGAGGGTTTTAAGGACATACTAGAGGTCTGAAAAATGAGAACAAATCAGTAGGCCCATTAGCTAAGCAGCAAATTAAAGCACCATTGTTTCCAATTTCAGCCTTGAATATGGAAGACACCAAATGGACCGTGCTCTCAGTCCCCTCCACAAAAGAGTGTTCTCTGCCATGTATTCTCAAGTGCCTTTCTTTTTTAACCAGCTAATTTAGTGAAAAAATGACTATGAGTTTCCTAACTCTTCTCCTAAATCATTATTACTAACTTCCCTAGGAGCATGTTAAAGGGATAGCAGGAAAACAATCAATTGAAGTTTCAAAACACCAGCTATATTTCTCATTAATTTTCAACTTCTATTTTTCTTCTAATTAAAAATTGAAGTTTTCTATCTTCAGATTTATTGTTCTTTTCTTTACTTTAATCCTTGATGTAAAATATAGCATGTAGATAATCCGCAAACTGAATTTAAGACAAACTGCCTCTACCCTTAAGAAGTAGACCATATTCCGTAATTGTATACCTTTTGTCTTCTCATCCCTTGAAAACAGAGTTGAAAATAACTTTCTCCAATGTCTTGAGAAGGCAAAAAAAGATCTAATAAGACCGCGTAAGAGTTTTTTTTTAATTAGTTTGTATTTAAACCAATTTGTTCATGACATAGTTCAACTGCTAAATAGTATTAGGCCCAGAGATAACAGCTTTCAATTCTTTAAGTAATTATTTTGGAATTTGTTTCTACATCTGGAAATCAGAGCTTCCCAACTGGTAGGCCTTGGCACACTACTGTGCAATGAATTGGTTCCAGACATGCTAGGAGGTATGGATGCTCCTAGGTCACGGGGAATCAGATGGGGCCTGGGCTAGCTGGTGTCTTTGGGCAGGTCACATCTGGCCATCAGCTTCCCCAAGGTCCAGACACATGGTACTCAAGGCTCTGCTGAGAGGCATTAGAAACTCCCATGGACACCCACTTCAACAGGCAGCTACAGAAAGTACCACTACACTTTGTGCAGAAGCAGCCCATGTAACTGTTGGAGGAGTTTTTGTGCCAGGTATATAAGGTGCAGCTGGTTGAAGGTGGAGCTCCTGAAAGGTGTGTGTGGGGGGGGAATACAGTGGTAAAGCTACAAGTAGCAGCCCCCCAATGAGTATCAAATACTTCTTTCCATTTGAGTCTAATGTGTTTGTGTTTTTTTGTTTTGTTTTGTTTTGTTTTTAAGACAAGGTCTCACTCTGTCACCTAGGCTAGAGTGCAGTGGCATCATCATAGCTCACTGCAACCTCAAATTCCTGGGCTCAAGCAATCCTCCTGCCTCAGCCTCCCAAGTGGCTGGGACTATAGGCACACACCACCACACCAGACTAATTTTTCTACTTTTTGTAGAGATGGGGTCTCACTTTTGCTCAGGCTAGTCTCAAACTCCTGGCCTCAAGCAATCCTCCCACCTTGACCTCTCAGAGTGGTAGGATTACAGGCGTGAGCCATTGAGTCTGGCCATTGAGTCTAATGTGCTCTTGTACTGGTATCTAAGCTACCTATGGGGTGACTGCTCTAAAAATAATCACACATTTTACAAACTCAGGTCATATTATTATTTTTAATTATATCATAGGAAAAAATTCAATTGAATTGAAATCAATTGGAATTATCAGAGGACTGCATTTGCCTAGCAAAGAAGAGAGCTAAAACTATTGAATTTTTAAAATATAATTTTAACTGTTGTAGAACTTGGAATAGTGGTGAAATGCCTTGAATTTTTTAAAAATCACGAGTGTGGTATCCCACTGACAGTGACTAAGAAGAATTTGAAGAGACAATCATTGAGATCTTGATCAAAAATTGTGTTTAGTCATTTTAGGCACATAAGCAATATAAAAAGAGTTATGTGTATGAAAGCAAGCTCAGGTTTCTCATTTAAAATTTGGAAACTATTTTATTTGGAAATTTTAGATCTACTTAATATTCCCCAAATCGATGTCTCTAGTTCCACTATAATACATTATTTAATATCAGTTTCCATATATGCCGTAATGAAATAAAAATTTAGACACATTGATTTAAATAACATGTTTCTCTTACTTACTACTTCTTGGTTTTTCAATTTTAGGTATCATCTACTCACCTCCCAATGAGGAAGATAAGGGTTAGGTTTTTTTCATACACATGTGCATACCTTATGTTCCCATCCTCTCAGATGTACACTCTGATTTTGGTTAGATTAAATATCCACGTTTATATTATTAGAACTTTTGAGAGACTACTGGTGCTGAGTCATGCAATATTCTGTAACTACATCTCCTTTTCTGCATTACTTTTTGTCTTCCCTGGAGCTAATCATTGTTGTATTTAATTTGGGTCAGTTTCCTATGTACTTATCATGATGTTATCTCCAAAACCTCCCCTAGATTTGTAAGTCTCATCTCAGCACAAACACATTAGGCATTTAATCAATTTTCCCAACTTGAAGAACTCTCCCCTAAATCCCTCTACCCAGTTGATCCAATCAATTTAGACCAGTTGATCACTAGTCCTGCTGCACAGCTGTTATCTTGAGAGCTCTTTTGCCATCACCTTAGGAATTCTTCTCACCTGGCTCTTGTGTTGTTTCTGTCTTTCTATTAGTTTTCCCTATCACTTATTGAGCACATTCTAATGTTGTAAAGTTTCATGACGCTATATTGTTATTGTCTTGTAATCAGGAAACTCCTACTTTGGGGAAATTTTGTTGAATTATTCCTTTGATGGTTTTCTGTCCTCCATTTTCTAAATTGTCAATCTAGTGTTAATTGTTAGGCATACATATCAAAAATTAAATTTCTATTTTCTTATTTCTAAATTTCTTATTTTTTCTATGTTGTTTTCTATTCTTTCTCTTTTTACTCTACTTTCTAAGGAGTTTCCTTAACTTTATCTTCTAAACCTTATAAATGCTATTGTGTTTCATGGTTGTAATTTCATATCTTATCGGTCTGGAGACACTGATTATTTCTTTTTTAAGACTTCTTCCTACAAAGATTCTGTTTCCTTCAAGTGGCTTTTTTCTGTTTGCATGTTTTAGTTTCTGTCTCTCATGACAGGGACTTTCCTTAAATGTCTGATGATCCTTAGTTTGCTGATATTTAAGGGCAGGGTACTGGAAAGTGAACAGGAAGGTTGGCAGAAAGGGTTATTGATATAGGATTTATTTTAGGATTGTTCTGGCTGGGCCTGCCTTTGGGGAATCCCTGATGTCAGCATCTTTGAGTTTTATTTTTTAGGTTAGATTCCCAGAGAAGCTTCCTGGAGTCTCCTCCTAAGGCATCATCTTGGCTGCTCACAGGGTAAGTAGCAGGGAGAAGGTGCTGTGCTTCTTAGGATTTGATAAATCAATGTCATCCACTAGACTTCAAGACTATAGTGTACCTTTTTGAGGAAGATGCAGGGCAGGTGCTACGGAATTCTAGTCTGTCCACTCCTGCTCCTGACTCACTGCTGTTCACTCTCGAGAGAGAACAGGCTGGTCAAGACACCATGCCACAGCCTTGGCTTTTAAAGATGCTGGAAAAACGCCCGCGGAACCAGCAGTGGCAATTCACTGAATTAGAATTACCCTAACCAAACCCAATATAAAACCCCCAGAGAAGGTGTGTACTGACTTGATCAGAGGCAAAGGAAAAGAATCTCCAAGTGAAAGGTCCAGTTTGGATGCCTACCAAGACTCAATCCAAGGAAAACTCCTTCTAGTGAAGGTTCTAAGACATGGGATCACTCCCAGATGAGAATCCACAAGCGACTCATTGACTTTCTCAGTCCTTCTGAGATTGTTAAGCAGACCACTTCTATTGGTTTTGAGCCAGGAGTTGAGGTTGAAGTCACCACTGCAGATGTGTAAGTCAACTATTTTAATAAATTGGTTACAAGTTGTTTAAAAAGAAAAAGACAATATGATACTACCTTTAACTTTGCCAGATACTTCTCAATCCAGAAACCTTCTGTTTTATCATCTCTATAGAAAACGTAACTACCATCTCTCTTTTAGAGTGCAAGAAGGGCAGTTATGTGCTTGTATAAAATTGGAGAGCAGACCTGAACTTTCAACCAATAGTCCTAATCTTAATCCTATTTTCACCCTCACTCCCAGGTGTTCTTATTCCTGAGCTTTTGCATGGTTCATCAGTGTAAACTGGTCTACTTCTTCCTTTCTCCTCTGTCAGAACTCCACTTTCTCAGGTCTTCTAAGCAAGTTACTACTAATCTCTATATATTGGACAAGTGATTCCAAAATGCTGTGGCTGTTCCCTCATTTCTTTGTTCTTACTGGTGTGTACCTTTTTAAAAACTCCCTTAAACCTTATTTCAATGGAGTTTCCGGAAGGGCCAGGAACTAACACGTGTATTCATCTTTAAGCCGAAACCTCTCAATCACCTTCCATCCTTTTATACTGACATTGGAATGGGATTACTCATTTTGTTTTTCAACATTAAGCCGAGGCCCAATGTTCAGGGGAAACAGGAATTAGGGAAAACAGCCATTTTGGGATTTAGATGAAACTGAATTTAATAACTGCATGCTCTTATAAGCTAGTATATCTCATTGCCCTAACAATGTGTTGGGCACTGTGGGAAACAAAAATAAACATGTCCTTACTTCAGAACAGTCTCAGAAAGGCTAACTATTAAAGAGGTCCTTGAATTGATAATTAAGCAACAAAAAGGTACTAAGAGGGAAAAACTACCAGGCCAGGGAGTGGAATGGTTAGAGGCAAACTCAGTGCAGGGGAAAAGGGCTTCAACTCAGGGTTTTTAAAATCAAGTGTTACAGACATTGCTTCTGCAGAGTTTACATAATGTATATTAGATATAAAGTGATCAATTGATTGGGAAGTAAGATTTGTTTTATGCAGACTATGGCTCCTGGTATAAGATAAGAAACTCTTTTGCTTATAATAGAGCTGCTTTAAGTGTCTTTATTTCCTATTTCTCCCACAGTGGGTCATTAAGACATTGAAATAATTTTTTAAACTATCAGTTTAGTTCACTACAATCTTGTGAAATCGATACAGTAAAATGTACTTTTGCAGTGATGCTCAGTTGTAAAGCTATACCTGAGACTCTAGTCCCTGACGCCACTTATGCCACTGAAATAATTATCTTTATAACACAGTCTTTGATAATGCACAGCCCTGTTTTGTGGGGTTTTTTTTGTTTGTTTGTTTGTTTGTTTTTGAGACAGAGTCTCACTCTTGTTGCCCTGGCTAGAGTGAGTGCCGTGGCGTCATCCTAGCTCGCAGCAACCTCAAACTCCTGGGCTCAAGTGATCCTACTGCCTCAGCCTCCCGAGTAGCTGGGACTACAGGCATGCACCACCATGCCCGGCTAATTTTTTTTATTATATATTTTTAGTTGTCCAATTAATTTCTTTCTATTTTTAGTAGAGACGGGGTCTCGCTCTTGCTCAGGCTGATTTCGAACTCCTGAGCTCAAACAATCCGCCCGCCTCGGCCTCCCAGAGAGCTAGGATTACAGGCGTGAGCCACCGCGCCCGGCCTTGTTTTGTGTTTTTTTAAGACTGTAAAACCATTTAGTATTTCCAGAGGGTTGGGGTAGGGTGTAAGAGAAAGAGAAGCATTATTTTTTTTCAGCTGACTTTTTTAAAAATTGATTTTATTTTTTAGAACAGTTTTAGGTTTGCAGAAAATCTGAGTCCAAGGTAGAGACTTCCCATATACCCTCTGCTCCCATACATGCACAGCCTCCCCTACTATTATAATCTCCCACCAGAAGGGTACATTTACTGTAATTGATGAACCTACACAGACACATCATTCCCACCCAAAGTTCATAATTTACATTAGGGTTCACTGCTGGTGTTATACATCCTATGAGTTTGGATAAATATATAATGACATGTAGCCATTATTACAGTATCATACAGAGTAGTTTCACTGCCCTAAAAATCCCGTGCTCCATCTATTCAACCCTTCCCAATCCCCAAACCATGGGAAACACCGATCCTTTTACTGCCTCCATGGTTTTGCCTTTTCCAGAATGTCATATAGTTGGAATCATACAGTATGTAACCTTTTCAGATTGCCTGCTTTCACTAATGTGCATTTATAGTTCCTCCGTGTTTTTTCATGGCTTGATAAGCCTTTTTTTAAACACCCAATTCTATCGTCTGGATGTACTACAGTTTATTTATTCATTTACCTACTAAAGGACATCTTGGTTGTTTCCAAATTTTGGCAATTATGAATAAAGCTGCTGTAAATATTCAGGCACAGGGTTTTGTGTAGACCTAAGTTTTGAACCCAGTTGGATAAATACCAAGGAGCACAGTTACTGAATCATATGGTAAGAGTACATTTAGTTTCATAAGAAACTGCCAAACTGTTTTTCAAGGTGGCTGTACTATTTTGTCTTCCCAACAGCAATGAATCAGAGTTCCTGTTGCTCCACATTCCCACCAATATTTGGTGTTCTTAGTGTTATTGATTTTGGACATTCTATTAAAATGTGTAATGGTGTCTCATTGTTTTAACTTGCAATTCCCCAATGACATATGACATTTCAAAATATTTAAAAGTCACAGATGTTTTTGTTACATGGATACCCTCTATAAGGCTTAAGTCAGGGCTTTCAGCATGCTCATCACCAGAACAGTGTTCATTGTCCCCGACAAGTAAGTTTTTATCCCTCATCCCCTCCCAGCATCCCCCCTTCTTGGTTTCCAATATCTTTCACATCTGTTTGTATCTGTGTGTGCCCATCATTCAGCTCCCAATTATTAGAGAGTACGTGTGGTGTTTGTTTTTCCATTGCTGAGATATTTTGCTCAGGGTAGTGGTCTCCAGTTCCATTCAAGTTGCTGGAAAAGACATTAATTCATTCCTTTTTATAGCTAAGTAGTACTTCAGGGTATATATATATATACATACCACATTTTCTTAATCCACTCATGAATTGATGGGCACTTAGGTTGATTCCACATCTTTGCAATTGTGAATTGTGCTGCAATAAACATTCGAGTGCAGGTGTCTCTTTGATAAAATGAATTCTTTTCCTTTGATTAGATACTCAGTAGTGGGATTGCTGGATCAAATGGCATACTTTTATTTCTTTCAGGAATCTCCATACATGTTTATCATAAAGGTTGTAATAATATGCAGTCCCACCAACAGTGTATAAGCATTCCTCCCTCTCTGCATCCACACCAGCATCTGTTGTTTTTTTCACTTTTTAATAATAGCTATTCTGACAAGAATAAGGTGGTATCTCACTGTGGTTTTAATTTGCATTTCCCTGATTAGTGATGTTGAGCATTTCTTCATGTTTGTTTGGCCATTTCTCTTATCTTCTTTAGAAAAACTTCTGTTCATGTCTTTTGCCCACTTTATAATAGGGTTGTTCATTTTTTTCCTTGTTGATTTGTCTGAGTTCTTTGTAGATTCTGGATATTAGCCCTTTATTAGCCATATAGTTTGTGAATATTTTCTCCCATTCTGTAGGTTTTCTATTTACTCTCTTGATTATTTCCTTTGTCATGCAGAAGCTTCTTAATTTAATTAAATCCCATTTACTTATTTTTGTTGTTGCTGTATTTGCCGTTAGGGTCTTAGTCATAAAATTTTTGCCTAGGCTAATGTCTAGAAGAGTTTTTCCTATGTTTTCTTCTAGAATCTTTATGATTTCATGCCTTACACTTAAGTCTTTTATCCATCTTGAATTAATTTTTTTATATGGCGAGAGATAGGGGTATTGTTTCATTATTCTGCATGTGGCTATCCAGTTTTACCAGCACCCTTTATTAAATATGGCTTCCTATCCCCAGTGTACGTTGCTCTCTGCTATGTTGAAGTTCATAGTTAGTTGTAGCTACATGACTTTATTTCTGGGTTCTCTATTCTGTTACATTGGTCTATGTGTCTACCCTTATACAAGTACCATGCTGTTTTGGTTACTATAGCCTTGTAGTATAATTTGAAGTCAGGAAATGTGATGCTTCCAGATTTGTTCTTTTTGCTTAAGATTGCTTTGGCTATTAGGGCTCTTTTTTGGTTCCAAATGAAGCTTAGGATTATTTTTTCTAGATATGTGAAATATTACATTGGTATTTTTATGGGGATTGCACTGAATCTGTAAACCACTTGGGGTAGTATGGACATTTTGACAATGTTGAGTCTACCAATCAGTGAGCAAAGGATCTTTTTCTATTTGTTTTGTCACCTATAATTACTTTCATCAGTGTTTTGCAGTTCTCCTTATAGAGATCTTTCACTTTCTTGGTTAAGTATATTCCCAGGTATTTAATTTTCTTTATTTGTAGCTATTATAAATGGTATTGAGTTCTTGATATAACTCTCAGCTTGACTGATATTAGTATATAAAAATGCTACTGATTTGTGTACATTGATTTTTAACCTGAGACTTTGCTTAATTTATTTATCAAAGCCAGGAGTCTTCTGGTGGAGTCTTTAGGGTTTGGCAGACACAAGATCATATTGTTTGTGAAAAGTGATAGTTTGACCTCCTCTTTCCCAATTCATTAATAGATATCCTTTATTTCTTTCTCTTGCTTGACTGATCTGGCTAGGACTTCCAGTACTATGTTGAATAGAAGTGGTGACAGTGGGCACACTTGTCTTATTCCAGTTCTTAGAGGGAATGCTTTCAACTTTTTCCCACTGAGCATGATGTTGGCTGTGGATTTGTCATATGTGGCCTTTATAATGCTGAGGTATGTTCATTCTATGTCTAGTTTGTTGAGGGTTTTTATCACGAAAGGGTGGACTTAGTAGAATTTCTTTTTTGCATCTATTGAGATGATCATATGGTCTGTTTATGCTTCTGTTTATGTGATGAATCCTGATTATTGATATGCATATGTT